ATTATCGCTCTCTATATCTGACGAACTAGATATATCTATAACTTCTTGACAAGTTCGCGCGTTATGACCAGCTTTTCCACAAGTTCTACAGCGCCGCCTAGAAGGTTGCCCCTCCTTATAACCAACCCCCGCCTCACGCATGTCGCGTCGTACTTGCTCATCTACATCCTCCTGAGCTAACATATCCTGTACATCCTCTACTATAAGTGCCCCTCCTTGGCGGACACGAGTCTTTTTAGCCCTACGGCGTTTACTTAGGGCTTCATTTGCAGCGCGAAGGGTACGGACCTCAGCAGACAAAAGGGTCATCTCATGTGCCATTCGCTCTGTACCCTTTGCTAACGCAGCAACTGTTTGAAAAAGTGGAGTTGGCGAGCTTCCTTGATGACAGGCTATACGATTTCGTACAAGAGTTGATTGTGAAAGGGCTTCAGTTGGGTTGGAAGGGGTCTGGGACACCCAGGGGAGGGAGTTGGCACTACACGTCCGAGGGGGAGTTGGAGTCCGTAACCTTACGTCAAGCTTTGAAAGCACTGCTTGCGGGTTAAATGGTACTAGGCCAGCTCCGCGGAATCCAGACTGACAGTTTAGGACTGTCATTGTTTCCTTGTATGCTGCTGTAAAGGCTAGAAAGAACTCAACCTTTGTAATATGGTTGATATGGGCCTTGATAAACGTCTCAATCTGCCGACCATACGCTCGTTTTAACACACTATAGCACCCAACATCAAGTGGCTGGGTTAGATGGGATGAATGAGGAGGTAGTCCAAGAGTAATAATGTTGTGTTTCGTACAGTAGTCTTGGAACTCAGCCGATTCATGACTCTCGTGCCCATCCAAAACTAGTATTCGATACAGACCCTTTGCACGAGCTGTAGTGTGTTTATCAAAGTGCTTTAACCATTCCAGGCCTGTTTCATTATTTGTCCAACCATTGCTTGTCGGTTTCATAACCCAGTTAGGTGGGAGGCCGCCGTCGGTATACCAGTTGGAGAGATGGTTCTTGCCCTGAACTACCAAGAATGGAGGAATACTCCAGCCCTCCCCATTAATACAGGCAATTGCTGTAGCCCATTCCCGATTGCCTGGCTGAACTGCCTTGCCTCTACCACGTCGGTCTGCACGAGTAACAACCATTCTAGGACAAATAACACCCATCATAAAGCCTGTCTCGTCGAAGTTGTAGAAGTCGGAGTCTGTAACCCCATATTTCGCCCTCATATTCTCTACTAGCCGGAACCATGCGCCTAGCACGTCAGGATCTTCGCATAAGGCCCTCTGGAAGTCGTAAACGCGATTAAAACGCGTCTTAAGGTCTGGTTGTCGTTGTACGAATCGATGGGCCCAGAGCTTGCCGACGCGTCTTCCCCCCCGCGATTCAAGGATAAAATTAGCCATATCTTCTACACCAGCGAGCCGGGGCGCAAATCCTCTGGAATCCATATCCAGTATATATACCGGATAATCACTTCCTCTTCTAACTCAGTCAACTTATGACAATTGGCTTGAGAATCTGGGCGGTAGGTTCGGCCAGCCATTCTGTCGGAAAGAGTCGTATATGGTACATTGTAGATCTTTGCCGCAGAGCGTTTGCTTAGTTTTTTGGACGACCGAATAGCCTCGATAGCTAGAGTAATTCGCGCTTCTTGAGTTTGAATTTCCATGGTAAACAGTTGAAGAAAACGTGTGTTGAAGTTTGAGGAGGTAGTGCCAAGGAAAAGTGATCGACTCGGTGATATGATCGACTCGCTGATAAACCACGTTATCTATTCTAAAAAGAACTATAAATAAAACAAAAGTTAGATAAAAAAAAAAGCGGGCGAGTTAGGTATATAAGTAAACGATTATCTATAGCTAAAGATTAGAAAAATTATTATTAATAACCTTCTTATTTACTTATAAATAACTACTTTAAACTATGTTTTCTCTACTAATAATACTACCTATATAAGAACCTCGGGATCCTTTAAGCTCGCCGGGCTTCGAGTCTATACTAAGCCCCCTTACTAAATAAACCTATATATAAGTTTTAGCTAGCCCGCCCCTTCGTAGGTCTATATAAGTTATAGAAAGAGAGCCTATTCGTATTAAGTAATACTAATAGTGTCACGAATCACGTGTAAGCATGTGACAAGTGAAGACCAGGCGGCGCCCTGACAGGTTAAGCACTATCATATCTCTTATAGCAAATAGGGATGCTTAGGCTAGCTAAGCGATCCAAGGATTTCTTAGCATAGGAAAGGTCACGTGACCATGATCGCCCAGATCGCCCAAGTCGCGAGCGACGAAAGCGATGTGTGCGATCCAACAGAGAACGAAGGAAAGATCACGTGACCGTGATCGCCCAGATCGCCCAAGTCGCGAGCGACGAAAGCGATGTGTGCGATCCAACGGAGAACGAAGGTTCTATATAAGACTGGCACGTCTAATAATATCAATAAAGAGCGGGACTTAAGCGATAAAGGCGATTTAGATTAGTTAGTCTTTTATAGTAATTAAATAGTATTTTAACGTTCCTAGTAATAGCCTTATATTTACCTTTTTAATATAAATCAGCTTTAAAAACAAGCGTTTTTAAACGATTATTACTTAAAGAGGGAATTAAAAACCTAAAAATCTAAACGTATATATACTACGAACGTATATATACTACGTTAAAGGGATATTATAAACTTACTTATAGGTTCTATAAGTAGAGCGAATATAATCTAAGCTATTAGATCTATTATAACTATCTCGGACTACTCGCCCGAGTCTCGGACCGATTAAACTTCGTATTAATCTAAATTAATCTAAATTAATCTAATTACTTAGTAATTTTATTTAATTAATCGATATATTAATCTAATTTAAGTTAATTAAATACTAATAATTAAATTAAATTAAATTATTTTCTACGCTATTTTTATTAAGAACTCGCTTTAATTAGTTATAAAAAATATCTTTTTTCCTATATATTACTACTACGAGTACTACTACTACGATTTAGAGCCCTTTTAAGCTCCCCTACCTTTAAGCCTATTTCTCCTTCTCCTATACCAGCGATTCTAGTACTAATTAATACCTTACCGCCCCGAAGATCTTGTCGTATAATAGAGCGTACCGTAATTAATAATAAGGACAAAATACCCTTGTATAAGTAATGTTTAATCCGTATTATATTTACGGCGGTAAGACTATTTCTAGTAGTAAGTAGGAAATGGATTTAGATAATATAAACGACGAGATAGACTCTAGTAATAGTAGGGATTCCGATTAATTAACTTATACTTATATTCTCCTTTTCTGACCTTTCTCGCGATAGCTTCAATTTAGACTTTTTAATACGATTATAAAGGGGGTGGACAGTTAAGGCTAGACACTGTCGCTAATTACAGTACGTCTCGGCCCCGCATTTTAGCTAAACCAGCGAATCAAAGACTTATATCTGGGCGATATAGACTTTTTTCACATATGATCTACGTGACAGTGTCCAGCATTGACTGTCGACCCCCTTTACTTTGAAAAACGCTTGTTTGCGGAGATTAATCCTAAAAGTGGGTAAAAAAGCTCCCCCGCCTCCAAATGTACAAATGCGACCTTGAGGGGATACATAAAACACTCTATACCAACCCACCTCCTCCTCTCTCACCCTCCCTCTCCTCTCCTCCCTCCCAACTCAAGAACCCCACTCCCAAAGCCAAACAACCACACCATGTAGTGACCCCTCCCTCACGTCACACCAACCTACCCGTTCCACAACACCCAATTTCTCCTTACCACAATTAAACAAACCCCCGATAAGCATCAAGCAGGCGAACCACATTCAAAAACCACGCTGTAACCCACCGTAAATAACACCTCACCCGAGTCATGCAGAACGCCGTTGATATTGTCGTACGGATCGATCGTTTTATGTTGTACTCCCACCTTCGGAAGGAGATCGGTTTGTGTCTTGAACTTCCAAGTGATGATAGGGTATTGTTTTAGCGAGCACTCGAGGGATCTGGGGGTGGGGTTGGGGTTGATGGACAGGGGTGGTGTACGGAACGCCGATCCTCTCGGACACTTCTATCAAAGTGAAAAAGTAAAAAAGGTAAAAAAGGTAGAAAAGTAAAATCCAATCTACACCCTACTTTTATAGTCTACAAGTGTAGGAATTACTCATATCTTTTTCATAGACAAGGAAGGCTCCTTCCTAAGTAAGTTAAGCCCTAGTTTCCCAGAACTATACTACTTATAGTATCTCTTACTTCTAATTATATTTATACCTGTAGAAGTGCCTACAGAAGTATACGTAAGCAGAGTATAATAGCAGGTGTAAAGTAGCAGGGACCCAGGACAAGGGAGGAAGGAAAGTAAAGCTACTCTAAGGTAGCAAGGGAGGAGTCCCTTAGGAATTCGGCCAAATTCCTCGACGTTTATTTGGAACTTACGTAGCCTAGTTATTTCAAGCTATATTCCAGTAACATATTCACCTGAGTTTTACCCTACAATAGCTTCACTTCTGCCTACCTACCTACCTACCTCCTACCTCCCTACCTACTCTATTACCCGCCCTATATGATCTCTTTCCTCTATATATTACTAGGGCACTATATAGGGGCGATAAGAGGAGTAGTAGGTAGTAGATAAGTAGTATAAAGAGGAGGGACAACTAAGCGTCTAATAGGACGGGAGATATAAGAAGATTACGTATTCAAGGCCCTTTTAGTTGGGTTTTCACTTTTTCGCTTTTTTACTTTAGTAGGAGTGTCTGATCGGCGTTCCGTAGTGGTTGAGTAGGTACGATACTGTGTGGTCCCGGTGTTTTGTTGGAGAAGTTTGGAAGTATTGTATGAAGGAAGGGACATGTAGAAGAATATGTATTATGGATATGAGTATGAATATGAATATGAATATGCGGGAAGAAAATCTTGATCTTTCTTCTTTCTTCTTTCTTTCGTTCTTTAAAACCTTTCCCCGCTAAGAAACGCCCAATATGTTGCCATCTTATTTTCACCACATCCCCCCCCCCTCCCCCCTTTTCTACATAATCCTCCACTCCCCCTCATCACAACTCGGCCTAATCTCCAGCAACTTCCCCAACCTCGTCGCCGCCTCCGGTTTATCAAAAATCGCCACCTCCCACTCCGGACACATATTCAGACGATGGAGACGATCACCCCTCTCACCGGGTTTCTTGAAGTAGCTTTTGAGCCAGTCTTTGAGCTTGTCGTCGACTCTTTCCGAACACATGATCATGACGACGATTTGGGAGAGGTGCGGGGTGGGGATTTCGTGTTCTGTGAAGGGGGAGAGAGGGGTTAGTTTATATGGAGGTAAGGGAGGGAAGGGGGAAGGAGGGGAAGGGGGGAAAGGTACTTTTGATTGCATCTTTGAGGTTGGAGAGGCTGTATTCTACTACGCTTTTTGCTCCTGTTTAATAATTAGCATTCTTCATCTCTCTCACTCAAACCTAAACCCCCCCTCTTCCTCTATCCTCTTGCTCCCCTTACTCCCCAAAACAAACCAACTCAAATCCACAAACTCAGTCCAAAAAACCCAAGAAGAAAAGAAAAACTCACCAACACACCCCGCCAAAACACAAACCGTAACCTCATCCACAAAACTACTATTCTCATACACCTCCTCATTCACATACCGAATCAACATATCCACCACCTTCCTCGGGACAAGCTCTTCCTTCTTCTTATCCACAAACTTCATCAGCTCCGCTTCGAACTTTGGGCTTTCGGCGAGATACGAGGCCCGGATGGCGTACACCTTGCCGCGGATGAAGATGTCTTTGGTTTTGAAGTCGTAGTCGGGTTTGGTTTTTCCAGAGGAGGAGGATGAGGAGTCCTTTTTTGAGGTGGAGGAGGGGGTGGAGGTGGAGTTAGAGGAAGAAGATGAATTCGCCCCCCCAGACGGACTATAAAAACACCCCCCACACCCCGCATACCCCATATGTCCAAGTCCATGCTGAAACGCCCCCGCCGTACAAGGAACCTCATAAACGCCCCCCTTAACCAACTGCATACTCTCCTCCGGAGCCGCATAATACCNCCCATATGTCCAAGTCCATGCTGAAACGCCCCCGCCGTACAAGGAACCTCATAAACGCCCCCCTTAACCAACTGCATACTCTCCTCCGGAGCCGCATAATACCCCATCAGCGCACCCATCCCATGGACAGCCATCCGTCTCAACGGCGCCATCCCCATGCCCATGCCCCTCTGATCCAAGCCCTGGTAGCGTCCGAGATGGGCTGTAGACCCGGATAGGTTGACATACGTATCCGGGACGGTGCGGCGTCGTCCGTACACAGAGACGGGGACGCCGCCGAGGGAGGGGGTGGGGTGTTCGGGGTAGAGGGCTTGTCGACGGGTGAAGGGTGCTAGTTGCATGCCTGCCATTGTGGATGTGGATGTGAAGTAGAAGTGAGGTTCTTGATATTGATGAGATGATGTAGAGGTGAGGTGCGAACGTATAATAGAGTCAGAAGATCTCTCTTGAACTAACTGGACCCAAGTAAAGATCTCTTCGAGTGTAGATATGTAAGAGGTATTAACGCTTGAGGGAATTATTGCATCACAAAGGAAAACCGGAATGAAGTGTGAAAATAAGAGAGAGAAAGAGATCAAGGAAAACCAGACTGCAAAGAGTCAAACATGGAGGTATATGTGTAAAAGTGTTGCCCCTCGAAAACAGAGGAAGAAAAAAGGGAAAGAAATTGCGCAACGAGCCATAACAGACATAGCCATGTATCACCAGCCCAATGGTACCACCATAAACAAGTGGCATCTGACAGCTCTATGACCACTTCCCGTTTGTCATATGTAGCAAAAAACCAACGTGTTAGAACTCCACAATTGATGCAAGTTACATACCCCTTCTCAACTCTGACAAAAATCACGTGGGAAACACAACTTGCAAACAAACGCCAATCGAATTTCGTATCTGACAAACCGGGAAACCCAAGAAACCACTCGGGAATATACAATTAAAATTTTCCAAGGCGAACCTGCTGCGGTGACTTTGCCACTCCCGAGAAAAGCAAAACCAGTGTGTCCGCATGAACCCTTTACCCACATTACAATAGCTTCGCATAAAAAGCCCCTCACTATGTATCCATTCCATCGATCCCTACTAAGATTGGTAAAACCTAGACCATTCTTAAATCAGAGAGCTGCATTGGGAGCATGTACATAGCAGCGTCACACTTTGAGCTCCCCCTCCACTCGAATCTTCGCAAGTCTAGCCCTTTCTAGTACTTGGGTCCACCTTGACCAGCGTAGTCGTCGCCAGGTCTCGACCTATTCTGATCGTCGTTATACTTCTTTCGGAGAGCTTGGAGACGCTTCTTCTTTGTGACCGCGTTGACATATGTGCCAATGAAGAAACCGATAACGTTGAAAAATGGAACCCAGGCGTGTTCGGGTAGGAATTTTTGTGCAAAGGCCAGGCACAGTGGAGATGTAATCCAGCTGACCTTCATCACAGGCATGAATCCCGCTTTCCATGTCGCATGAACTTGGTGGATGGTTTTAGCGCCGGCAATGATAGCCATTGACATGAGGTAGACACTGTTTTGGATGGGTGCCATCTTTACACATGGGTTTAGCTGTGTTTGGATCCAATACGATGGGAACACTTACGACCAAGTTGCTGACGAGAATCTGAAGAATCTTGGCCTTTAGACTCGTACGGCCCTTGAAGAGCTTCTGGAGAATACTGATCAAGACATGACCCAATGGCGCGCTGATGAAGGCACCAAAGGCGGCCATCTTGGGAACGCGAGCTGTGAAGTAGTGACCATTCTTGTTGCGATCCTTTGCGATCCACGAGGCCAAAATCTCCTGCAGACCCGAAAGTACGCCCGACGTGAGCATCTTTGTCCGCAGCGGGTTCGTCTGAAGCTGTCTCAGGTATACCTGCGTGTCTGGTCGTCAGCACGATGGATGCCGCCATCCCGATCGTTGGATTGATCACGTACCGCCAAGTAACCTCTTGTACCCTCATTGGCCTTTCCACCGGTCAAGACCGCGCCGACATTGTGTACCAGATCGTGTTTGTTGTCGAGGAGGGTATCCTTAATCGAGTCGACGGTTTTTGGCAGCGCGGCGTCGACGACTGGGCCCGACGTCGACTTGATGACATCCTTCTCGAATTTGACCGACATTGTGTGGGGTGACCAGTAGTAATTCTGCCTGGTGTCGCGATGTCAGAGTTAGCCAGTACGGAGGGAGAAGATGGAGACGCAATGGAGTGTTGCGGGGTGTGGAGGTGTTTTGAGAGGACTGGGCCAGACTGGATGAAGGTGGAGGAGGAGAAGGGCTGGATGGGAGGGCCGGAAAGTCTGTTTACATTTGTTGATGGCTGGTGGTCGGAGAGTGCTTCGGGGAGGGTCTTGGAGGTCTGCCGAGGCAAGGTACGCCGGGAGCTTAGCCCTGGAGCCCTGGAGCTTCGCCTTGGGGGATCTCACACCTGTCGCGCGGACGTGCGAGCTGTAGGTAGCTGTCGCTGTGCCGTAGCCTGTAGGACCTCGAACGCGCAAGAATGGGCGATGGTGGAGAGCAATGAGATAAGAGTACTGACCTTTGAATCCAGGCTGGTACGTCCAGTCGTGACAATCTGGTGGCGATGGATGGATGGGAGGAGAGGGTGTGGTGTTGGTGTTGTGATGGTTGTAGTATGGTCGTGTGGTAGTGAGGTGTGGTAGGAGGTACGGAGTAGGTGTGCTGAGCTACGAGGTTGGGCAGAAGCTGGAAACTGGAGCAACGCCTTCTAGGTGGAGCACTCGAGGCACTGGAGATGCGACGCCAGTGGACCAAGAGATTCGCAAGAGATTGCGACAGCTAGCGGCAGCTAAACAAACAGGGGTCCCCAATTGGCTTTCGCGTAAATGTACAACCGAAAGCGGCACTGGATATAAAATGACAGCTCAGATAACACTATCTGCATCTCTACTAGTTGCATTTTGGACTCGAAAACAGCTAATGCCACTACTAATATCAATCTAATCATTCAGTAGAAAAGAATAGTAGAATGACATGGGGGTTAGAACGCTCATCTACTGCACAATATCAACGGCTGCTTTTCCCCTTCGAGTGGGGCAGCGTGTTCAACAACACCGGCATCCACTCACCGTGGACCACCATCAACCTTGAAACATCACAAAACCTGCCAGAGGTGCATAAGCTCACGGCCAACTGCAAATCAAGTGAGAGTGATTGCATACCTAGAGTAGAGTACAATATGTATGTACAACACAGTCTCGACGTAAGTACCCTTTAGGCAAAGTCCGGTCTCCACATCCTAATTTGGGGGTCCAGAGCCGGCCATCGAGACCTCGAAGATGACTTTGTTGATCTCGATGCCTATTCCAGCCAAAAAATACTGATGTCTTTTCAATGTAAAGATGGATGGTTGTACATGTACGACACTATCATGACCTTCGCCTTACTTCGATCTGTATCCATTACAATGCTTCTCGATTTGCGTTTACCTACAAGTAAGTATACGGCTCCGAGTATCGAGGACACGGATTGGGATTGTGAAGATGATCATGACTCAACTCCGACTTTATGTTCTTGTAATCAAGATTCCGTCTCTTTATATCGTCATAAGTCACGATCCCTTTTTTGAATACCCAATTACGAAGAGTATGTTGCAGGCAAAAGATAGCATCCTCGGAGCATGCTCACTTTATCAAATCAAGCATGGAGACCGCTCTTGGGAAAACTAATGATTATTTGGCAAGGTGAGAGGATGAATGGATGTCTTATCCATCCATACGTCCCCCATAGTTACGCAAGGTTGCTACAAGGCAATGGAGAACGCGGACGATGAACAAGCTCAGGATTACTTACACCAAGTAGTTCACATGCCATTTGCAATCTAGCTTATCCCCAGAATAAATCCAACGATCTAGTATCAAATGGATCAAAGTTTCTGGAACCATCTCGTTCATATTTCATGGAAGTCAAGCCAGACATTTGAGAAATAAGGGACGTGGTCGTTACTTTGTATACACCTCTCTTAGAATAAGATTATTCTAAAATCGTCGTACAACTAAAGGAGTTCTATAAAGAGTTTGGGATAATTGTCACCGCTTACTTTTTGTGTATATAGGTATACTAATACGATCATTTTACTTATACTAAATGTTTAGAATAATAACTTTTTGTATATTATATAGAGAGTAATGATCAGGTAACCTACTTCAAATTCCATTCTAAATCCATCTGTGTCCCAGAAAAAAAGAAACGATCTAGAGTTGAAATAAATCAATATTTCTGGAACCACCCCCTTCAAATTTCTTGGAAGTGATGAGGGGGGTCAGCAAAACACACAAGAGGTATACAACACCTTCCATCAGCTCCTAGAAAGTGTTGAGAAGAATGCCTCCTACCGCTAGCAACATTGTTCGAAGATCTCTCTTTCGGTCCTCCAACTGAATAAAGTTGATTTGATGTTTCCAGAGTGTTTAGCAACGCTATCACAGTTGCACCTTCAACTTCACTTTGCGATTTTCCCTCAAAGATTGGCAAAATGGAATCAATATTCTCCTTGTCGAGGGATTCGATCATACTTCTTTTCAACTATGATGCCTGCCTGCCGTCTACTGTCAAACTTCGAGTTGAAATCTATTCTTTGATCAAGTTCAGCTCCTACAAAACAACCACCTTGAAGTCTAAGAAACCCACCCTCTTCTCGGTTTGATACGCCAATCAGTATCAACAGTAGGAGTTGAAGAATTTGACGAATACTGAATACTTTTGCAATAATTGCTAGCTTTCACGCCATTTAACTGAGTCGGTCTGCGGCAAAACATCATCACCTTGACCGACAACCGACAACAGCTCATTCACTTGACAACCGATTAATTTCCAGACCCTCGACTGGCTCTCCGATAATATGAAGCGAAATGAACCGACCGACATCCTCCACGGCTTTAATCTTGTTGCCGCAGCAATCCCTTCCAAGTCAAGTCCTCATCCCCAAACACCCACTTCTACATACCCATTCAATCCTCCACATCTCAAACCTCAACCACAAAACGCAACACCCACGCATCCCTTTTACACTTGTACAAGATGTATAGGGGTACTGGAGCATCTCCTCCGCGGAGCAGAGGCTCTCCAGACAAGCCACGTCCCGTCAAGATGCCGCGACCACAACCTCTCGCTGGTGCATGCACACACCTCACCGTGACGCGATACTATACCACCCATTATCGGTGTTGTATATGTACAAGACTTGGCTCATTCGGTTGGCTTTACAGATGTACGCAAGATCGGGAGTTGATGCTTGAAGAAAACAACAAGAGATTGGTGGGCTCAGGTACTCTATTTTGATGGTCATTCACTAACGACAATCTAGGGCTCAACAGATGAAGGAATCAGCGCGATGCTTGGAAGATCTGAGATTCCACTCAGAAGTCCAGCAGCCAGACATGACAAGTTAGCCTTCCTGTCTGAATTGACGCCTGAGCCATTTGCCTCTTATTCTGAGGAGCAAGTCAATAAAATCCTTGATCAAAGAGCTCACGTAGGAACCCCATCTACAACTCCAAATCTCACCAACTAACCCTAACCCAGATCCTCGAAGTCGCCTTCGCCCAAAGCCAACCCATCACCCCCGAAATCATCGTCACTCCCCCCAGTCCACCCAACCAACCCGGCTCATCCAGAGACCCTCCAACCAGAGCCCTAACCCCACCACCCAACTACCCCGACAAACCATGGCTCAACATGACCGGAGGAGAATGCCAATTCAAATGCTGCCACCGGTGCCGTTCAGGTCTCTACGAACGCTCATACCTCTCCCTCGACGGCATCGCAAAGAACGACATCCCCATGACAGCACTGACTGGCTTCGGCTTCCACACACGCGAACACATGCCCTACTCACACCCCGAACATGTCAAGAACCTCGGTTTGCGTCCAAATCCGGTTCCTAGAGCGAGTGTACCACCAATGATCCCAAGAAGAGCATATACACTCGTGAGTTCTCTCTTTCGACGACTGGTATATCTTCCCTCCCCCTTTCCCTATAAACAAATACAACAAAGAACAAGAACACTAACACCAAACCCCACAGATCCAAGACTCCGACTCCGACTCCGACGTAGAAATGACCGACGCACCCCCCCTCAACCCAACCCTCCCACGTACCCCCCGCCCAAAGTCCTGGACCATAACCAACAACCCCTCCTCCCGATCAAGCACCGACTTCGCAACCGAAGGCCGCAAGATCCTCACCGACTTCCTCAATAAACTAACCGCCGAACCCTCGCCCAGCTCCTCCGACCACTCTTTAGCCACGCTCCAAAAATACACCAATAAACCCCTTCCTACCCTCCCTACCGTTCCTGCAAATCAAACTTTGAAGTCCAATACCCTTCAAAACACAGCAACCCCTCACCCAGGTCCGCTTACCTCCAACCCACCACCACACATCATCCGTCCCAAGCCGCGCCGTTCGAACCTCAGCCTTGCTGTTGCGATTAGTACACCCCTGCCTGTCGACGAAGACGAAGACGAGGATTTCAAACCATTAACACTAATGGAAAAGCAGGAGGCCCATGAAGGCGCAGGCGTGTTTTCAAGCAAACCCCTGGAAGTCGGTGATGGCGTAGCATTCATGGAGGAGGGTCTCGAGGGCCATTTTGCGGATTTGATGGATATTGAGGTTGAGGGAAGTGGGAAGGAGAAGGGAATTGATGGGGAGACGTTGAATGGGGAGGAGATGGATGTTAAGGAGGATGGTGAGGTGAGAGAAGGAGAGAGTGTTGGAAGTGGAAGTGGAAGTGGGGGATTGGAGAGTATCATGACGCAAGTTTGATATTGTACTCCTCATCTTCATACTTCTTCCAAGTCCTTAGGTTTTGAGAGGTGCAATGATACGCGATGATACAGAAAAGATGTCAGAGTACTTCAAGATATGGGACCTGGCGTTTTCTGTTTTTTAATGGGATGGATGAATCATGAATCAAATGACCAACGAACAAAAGCAACTCCCTTTTCTAAAAGTGGGATGGATGGATGGATGGGTCGCATGGCCTTTCTGTATGCTAGTACAAAATTTCTAGGTAGTAAAATAAAATAAAATAAAATGAAATGAAATAAAACCTTTGCATTTCAAGAAATTTTCTTTTCTGTTTTGTTGTGTTTTGTTTTGTTTTGTTGTGTTTTGTTTTGTTTTGTTGTGTTGTGTTGTGTTTTGTTTTGTTTTGTGAAGTGTTGTGGTGGTTATTCGGCTATTTTCGGTTATCTCAGGGGTAGGGTGTCTAGTCGTGCTGTGTTTCCCCTTTTTTTAGCCGACCTGCAACTTACACACCTGCAGCCCGCAACTCTAACCTTACTCTGCCCCTTTCCCACCAACCCTCTTTTGATAGACAAGACAAGACCAAACATCCCATCTAAGAAACCCAAAACAAGACACTTGGAATAGTAAGTTTATCAGCGCCACCACGTCTCCAAGAATTTACACCTTAATTCAACCTCGTTATCGCATTTCCTAGATCTATTTTAAGTACACAACTGTACGTGTGTACCTGGGTCCCTATACGATTCCCTGGAAGAGAAGAGATGGATATTGGTGATAATATTACAACCGTATCCTGGATATATTCCTCTTTCTAGTATAGCATGACTCAAGATCTAGCATCTTACAATCCCCCATTTCACTCATACATATCTATTCTCTCCCTCATACACAAACCCCAACATCTCCATATCAGTAACCTTACATCTCCCCTCCCCCAACTCATCAAAAGCCCTTTTCAAATCCGGAATAACACTCCGTATCCAGAACGCCTCCTCATCCCATCTACCCGGCGCCTCCCCATATCCCACATCGTCGCCACGAAATATTCCATCCACCCTTCTCTTTGCCATCGTCTCATTGATCAGGGTCCGGATTCCTTCGTTGCATGGAGAACTCGTCGGTGCTATACCACTCGCAGCCCAATCAAGCAAAGCATTCGTATACACCAAATCCTTCGGCGTCTTCATCGCCAGTACCCTACTAGCCCTCCTCCTCCCACCCTCCTCCCTATTTCCATCTCCACCTCCACCAAACCTCTCCCCAACCCACCGCTCCATCACCTCTCTCCCGGGAAGT